TCGCTTACCTCAGGTTTTGATGATAAAATCTCCTCAAACTGCTTAATAAGCTCAGGAGGAGACATTTTATCTATCTCAGCTCCTAAAATAGCTATTGGTGCCTTCACCTCTGTAAATAAATACATCATAAGTTCCGATGGATAGGAGGGGGAAAAAAAGATTCAAGGAAACAGGAAGAATCTAAAAGTGATGCAGTTCACTTTACTCACTAGAATTCAGAAAACATGCGATACCAAATATCACTTAGGACGTAGGAATATGCAAAAGCAATTGGTAGTAATTTTTCCTATAAGAACGGAATCTAGACATTGAACAAATTTAGGACAGTAATATAACTTGACCGAACAAGTCACCAATATTCTAGTGACATTTAGACATAAAATGTTTTGTCCCTAAGCAATGCACTTGTATAAAATCCAGAGTAAAAGCTCTATCTAATCACAAATGATTCTGGTAAAAAACAGTCGTACCCTTAATATCATCCACAGTGACAAATGATGGGTGCAATAACACTGCTGCTTGAATGTCGTCAGACTTAGCTAGTTGAACAACCACCTTGGCTGTTAAGGAAAGAGGAGATCAGGATCACAGACAACCACAAGAAATTAACCTATACATGCTAGTACCGGCGAGGATGAATAATCCAAAAAGAGAAAATTGAACAACTTACCACCCCAACAAAACCCTGCAGCTCCAATTGCAGATATGCCTTTATCTTTTAAAGCTGCAACAACCTGCTTTGCATCTTCAAATCCTTTGTCCTAACAGAACAAAGCAAAAAATGAATAAAACGGTGGTGAGCCTGATACTATGGATGTCGCACAATGATAGTCCCAAAGTGACAAAGTTAATGAATGGAAAACTGTGATAATGATGGCATGGCCTCCTTTTACTCTCGATGCAAACAGATGGCAATATTATTGTAAACGCTTGGGCTTAACTCAACCCCAAAAGCTAGCTCTTGAGGGGAGGATTTCCCAAGTCCATATAAGGAGATCACCGACCCATTCCCCAACCAATGCGGGACTCTAAACCACTCTAACACGCCCTCGCACGCCCAGACCATCAACTAGAGCATGGACAATATATCATAGGGTCCCAAACGGCAACGAACTTGGCTATGATACCATGTAAAGATATGGCACTTGGGCCTAACTCAACTCCAAAAGAAATCAGTCAGAATGCATACTACTCCATGTGATTGTAGCCAGATTGATAAAGGCTTCTCCATAGTTTCAGGATTATAAGGATCCCCATAAAGAAAATCAGGAACCACAACATAGTATCCCACAGCTGCAACTTTGTCAGCAAGCTTCCTACATACCAGCAGTTAAGGTTTGGAATCAGCCCAAGATAAAACATAAACTTTTTGCAGCTTAATTACTGGAAAAAATGCAAA